GAGGCATGACCTTGTCTGTCCAGCGCTCCTCATGCATCCTGTGTCAGTCCCCGCAGACCCAGACAGGGCGGGAGAAGGCTGAGGCCCAAGTCGGAACTGTGAACTTCTCCTTGCAACACAGGCCTGGCACAAAGCGCTGGTGAAGAGCTAATGCAGCTGGCAGTGTGAGAGGCTCAGGGGCAGGCGCTAGCCCGGCTTCAGCTCTGTGGAGTGCCGACCTTCTGCCCCCTGCCCTGTCCCTCTCCCTGCTATAGTCACGGTGGAGGCACAAGGATATGTGCACACTAGCGTGTGCGTGCGTGTGCGTGCGCGTGCGTGTGTCAAAACAATAAATAAGAGTGAGGGCGAAGGAGGGACAGACTGCCCCCACACTCCTCTGTGAGGACCATGACCCCAGTGAGCTAAGGACTTGAATTAGGATCTGCCCATTAAAGGTCCCCGGCCTCCTGGGAGCCACACCTCTTAACACATGAACCTATTGAAATCCCAGCAAGGGGCCTTCCTGATAGTCTTGGGCAGCTAAGTACCCTCCTTTTAGGGGCAGCTCTAGGGGATGGGGAGACTTGGGGCTGACTGGGGGAGAGGAGAGAGGAAGCCAGCTCAGCTTCCTGACATTCATCAGGAAGAAGATGGGCTGCTTTGTGGACAGTAATTTACATCTTTGAAGTGTAACGTCTTACCTCCTAAGAACACGCAGAGCAGTGCATGTCACAAGAGGAAATTCGGGTTTTATGAAGAGTGGGGCTTCATTCTCAATCTTAACCCCGTTAGAGGGACATTGGATGTCGGCTTGAGGTCGGTATTTAGCTGATTCTTTCAACGGCTAGTAAGTGAACTCTATTTAAGGATTGGTGGTGGGGCTGTAGGACAGAGGGCTGGAGAGATGGATCAGCTACTGAGAGCACTTGTTGCTCTTGCAGAGGACCTGGGTTCAGTTCCCGGCACCCACATAGTACCCCACAGCTATCTGACACCCCTCTCCTGATCTCTGAGGGCACTGGGCATGCATGTGGTACACAGACATGCAGGCTACACTTGATACACATAAAATAAGATTAAACAAATCTTTAAAAAAATGTTTAAAGTTGGCTAACAGGGTACAGGGACCTGCTACCAAGCTGGACACCTGGGTTTGATCCCATGACCCACAGGGTGGACAGAGAGACCCGACTCCTGTGAATTCTTTTCTGACCCCCACCCAAATAAATAATTTTTTTAAAGTCTTAGATTTGTTCATTTTATTATTCTATGTGCACAAGTGTTTTGTCTGCATGCATGTCTTGTAGCATGTGAGTGCCTGTCGCCTACATGGTCAGAAGGGGCGTAGGATCCCCTGGAACTGAAGTCACAGACTTGCCATGTGTGTGGTTGGAGTCAAACTTGGGTCCTTAACCATTGAGTAAACTCTCCAGTTCAAATATCTTTTTTAATTAAAAAGATTAGTATTTTATATGTGTGTGTGCATGTGCTTGTGCGTGCGTGCATGCGTGTGTGTATGTGTGTGTAGGCCTGAAGCCCTCAGGTGTCTACCTTATCTTTTCACACCGGGTCTCTTAACTGAGCCCAAGACTCTCCAGTTGGCTGGGCTGGCTTACCAGGAGCTCCAGAGTGCCTTCATCCCGGCCCAGCGCTGGCCTTCCAGACGTGTACAACCAAGCCTGCCCTGTTACATAGGCTCTGGGGATCTGAACTCGGGTCCCCGGGCTTTCGAGGCAGGCCCTGTAGTGACTGAGCGTCACTTAACATCTTCAAATTCCCAGTGAAGCATTTCCCAGGTTCTGCTCGAGACGGGGGCATATTCTTCCAGCATGAGGCTGCTTCTGTTTAACTTCTTCTCATCGCTGCAACAAAATCCCGAGGAAAACAGCTCAAGGGCAGGACGGTGTTCTGGTGGCTCCTAACTGGACGGTGTACGGGGCCAAGCCGTGCTAACAAGCCGAAGCAGCAGGAGCTTGAGCTGGTCTTGCGTCACCGGCACTCAGCCCAGGAGACCAGCCTCCTGCAATGAGGAAGGGCTTCTCACCCCACCTCGCCTGATCTAGAAACTCTCTCACAAACACGCCTAGAGGCTTCTCCCCAGCTGCTCCACAGTCTCGAGTGGCCAGACTCACGGGGAGAAAGCCCGGTGCCCGCAGACCATCTGCACACAGACAAAACACCACCAGGGGTCTTCATGAGCCCTGTCCCAGCCCCTCACAGGCCTCCCCAGATCCGAAGCCCCTGGTTTCTCCCCCTTGTCTTTGGCTAATACTGTCTTAATACCTGCACTTCAGCTGCGTGTATGATTCCGTGACACCCAGCACAGCACTGGGGACAGGCCATGTGCCCGCTAATGCTATTGAGTGACTGCTTGCTCAGGGCTTTCTCTGTTGGATTAGAGCCTTGGTCCTAATGAGGACCAACTCTGGACACTTTCTTTCTTTTGAGATAGGGTTTCTCTGTGTAGCCTTGGCTGTCCTGGACTCGCTTTGTAGACCAGGCTGGCCTCAAACTCACAGAGATCCTCCTGCCTCTGCCTTCCCGAGTGCTGAGATTACAGGTGTGTGCTGCCAGGCCCAGCCCTGGACACTTTTTGAGCGCCCAGTAATGCTCTGGTCTCAGTGAGCCTGTGCCTATGGCTGCTCTGTCCAGTGTTGCCCAGATACCCAGGCTGGGCTTCTATGGGGACCACAGAGAGCGCACACATGGTAGGTGAGGTGATTTTAGGTGGTCTGTTAGGTACTGAAATGGTGAGAAGAGTGATCCTTTATCAGTGTGTCTTTCTTCACGGTGGCCTTGGCAGACTGGGGTTAGATATGAACACAGCCCCGACTCTCAGCAGAATGACCCAACCACAGGGTCTGTGTCCCCATGTCATTTTCCCCCAAACAACGTAGAATGGCTGTGTTAGCCATCTTTCTCCTCACTGTGACAACAGGAAGGCAGCTTAAAGGAGGGGTGCCTGTTCAGCTCACGGTTTCAGAAGGCCCATTCCACTGTGGGGGTGGGGCAAGAAAGAGCAATTGGCTCGCGTTACTTACACCGCATTCTGCTGCCCCTGCTCTTCACGTCTCCCTGTCCAGCCCCATTTGGACGTTGTTGCACACACACAGGGGCGTGTTTTCTCTCAGTCAGCCTTCCCTGGACACACCCTCAGAGCTCCCCCATCAACTAGGGGCTTCTGAATCTAGACAGTGCAGGTTAATCATCACACCAACTATTTTTTAAATGTATTTATTTTTATTTTTTGTGGACTGGTGTTTTGCCTGCATGTATGTCTATATGAGGGTGTCAGGTCCCCAGAAAACTGGAGTTACAGACAACTGTGAGCTGCCATGTGGGTGCTGGGAGTTGAACCCAGGTCCTCTGGAAGAGCAGCCAGTGCTCTTAACCACTGTGCCATCTCTCCGGTCCCACACCAGCTGTTTACGTGTCGTTATATGGTATCACGCATAAGTATCTAGAGATGGTTTGAAGTTCGAGGTGGGGGTGGTGTGATGGCTTTTATGCAGCTCCCACACTGCTAAGCACCTCATGGTTTTATCACCTGATCAAGCTGGGAGCCAGTCACCCTTGTCAGGATATAATTTTTCCTGTACTTGTTTGTATTTGTTTTAGGTTTTTTAAATAAGGCCCCATGTATCTCAGGCTGGCCTCACACTGTGTAGACAAGGGTGACCTGTAACTCCTAACCCTCCCACTTGCAGCTACAGGAGCTTCGGTTAAGGTGTATCCAACACAGCCTTCTCTAAGCCTCTTAATTCTCCTTTAGACAAAAAAAGAAAAAAGTTTAGTCAGCGCTTTGGGCAAACAACATTATCAAGTAATGTTATCGATATTTGTTTGTTCATTTTGAGACAGGTGTTGGTGTGTAGCTCTGGCTGGCATGGAATTGGTTAAGTCATCCAAGCGACTGAACTCCAGTCCTCCTGCCTCCTGAGTAGTGCCGATGTTTTTTTTTTTTTTTTCTTAAAGCTGCCATCTATTTCTGGTACGAATGCTTTTACAGTAATTAAAATCTTGTAATTTTATAATAGGGAGAGAAAGTCTTTTATTTAAGCATCCTGAAGAAAAGGAAAGTAAGTAGTGGGTGAGGCGGTAGACCAGTGAGGTGAGTTTGGACGGTGCCCGAGAAGGGCAGCAGTTTGGCGGATGTTCTAGTCCCAGAGGTCAGAGGTCAGGAGTTGAGCCAGGTGCCCCAGCTGTGTGCAGAGGCATTCTGGAGAGAAGGAGACACCGAATTAGAGGCAGGGGACCCATTCCTCTTTCCCCTCCCCAGCTTCTCCATCCCTGAAAGGAAGGGGAGGGTGGTGAGGTCACGGCGGCCGCTGAGCACTGTCAGTGAGCCATACTGTCCCGCAGACGCTGGCAAGAGAAAGGGGAGACTACATGCAGTTGTCCCTCAGTGTCTGTGGGGACCGGCTCCAGGACTACCGCAGATCCCAGAACACACCAGTCTTCAGGTCCCTCCTACCCACCGGCAATGCTTGGCCGAGAACCTGCCACGTCCCTGGTACACTGTGCGGCATCTCCGTAAGGTCTAAGACGCCTGTTACCGCGGGGGAAGTCGTTGCCGTACTGTAGCGGGGAGGAGGTAGTGACAACGTGACGCAGATACGGGACAATTATGGCCGCCCCGTTGTTTGTTTCTAACTTGCTTTGTCTATCACTGTTACTCCGTGAGTGCGTGTATGGCGGGTGGGAGTGCGGTGCACGCGTGCCGCGGCCAGCGTGTAGGGGTCAAAGGGCAACTTTCAAGCGTTGGTTCTTCTCTTCCCCAGATGTAACTCGGGTTGTGAGCGCACAGCTTCACCACCGAGGGATGATGACGGAGGAGGTGGTGGAGGTGATACCAGCCATTACTTCGGAGCCCGGGCTCCCGGGTTCTGGGATGACGGGCGTGCGGCCCGGCCTAGGCCTCCGCCTGCTCCGGGTCTGCGGTCGGTGGGGCGGAGGCTGGCTCGCTGCCTGCCCTGCCCTCCCGGTGGTAACAGGCTCGTTCCCCTTGCAGGTCAGGAGCGATGGGCGACTGGAGCTTCCTGGGGCGGCTGCTGGAGAACGCGCAGGAGCACTCCACCGTCATCGGCAAGGTGTGGCTGACCGTGCTGTTCATCTTCCGCATCCTGGTGCTGGGGGCGGCGGCCGAGGAGGTGTGGGGCGACGAGCAGTCGGACTTCACCTGCAACACGCAGCAGCCGGGCTGCGAGAACGTGTGCTACGACCGCGCCTTCCCCATCTCGCACATCCGCTTCTGGGCGCTGCAGATCATCTTCGTGTCCACGCCCACCCTCATCTACCTGGGCCACGTGCTGCACATCGTGCGCATGGAGGAGAAGAAGAGGGAGCGGGAGGAGGAGGTGCTGAGGAGGGACAACCCCCAGCGCGGCCGCGAGCCCACGCGCACGGCCAGCCCCAGCCCCCAGGACCCGCCGCTGCGGGACGACCGCGGCAAGGTGCGCATCGGGGGCGCGCTGCTGCGGACCTACGTCTTCAACATCATCTTCAAGACGCTCTTCGAGGTGGGCTTCATCGCCGGCCAGTACTTCCTGTACGGCTTCCAGCTGCAGCCGCTCTACCGCTGCGACCGCTGGCCCTGCCCCAACACGGTGGACTGCTTCATCTCCAGGCCCACGGAGAAGACCATCTTCGTCATCTTCATGCTGGCCGTGGCCTGTGCGTCACTGGTGCTCAACATGCTGGAGATTTACCACCTGGGCTGGAAGAAGCTCAAGCAGGGAGTGACCAACCACTTCAGCCCAGATGCCTCCGAAGCCAGGCACAAGACCTTGGACCTCCTACCCTCGGCCACCAGCTCTGGCCAACCCAGCGTCTCCATTGGGTTCCCCCCTTGTTATACACACCCTGCCGCTCCCGCAGCACAGGCAGGGTTTCCCGGGACCCCGCTACCACCAGCAGACTTCACAGTGGTGACCCTGAACGATGCACAAGGCAGAGGCCACCCTGGCAAGCGCTGCAATGGCCACCACCTGATGACAGAGCAGAACTGGGCCAGCCAAGGGGCAGAGCAGCAGACTCCAGCCAGCAGCAAGGGGCTCACGGACAGCAGTGGCAGCAGCTTGGAGGAGGGTGCCTTGGTGGTGACGCCAGAGGAGGGGGAGCAGGCCACCACAGTGGAGATGCATTCTCCACCCTTGGTCCTCCCAGACCCAGGAAGGTCCAGCAAGTCCAGCAGTGGGCGTGCCAGACCGGGTGACTTGGCCATCTAGCCATCGTCTCCCCGAGACAGCTTTATAAACCTTCTCTTTTCCCCCTTAGAAACCAAAAACGAAAATGCATTTCAAATCAGCAGGTAGGGAGAGAAAAGCCTGACAGCGCTGGGGTTCCTGGAGGGAGACACTGAACAAGCCAGATCAGGTGTCTGGTTTAATGTTTGCTGTTCCTGTCGCTGTGGGATAGAGTGGGGTGACACCAGCGTGTCTGAGGTTGAGAGGGGGCAAGTTGTTGGCTTTTAAAGATGCTCCCAGCAGCGGTAGCTCTTGGACTCCTTCATCTGCAGTTACTCTTCTGCTGAGATAAAGCAACAGGTGTTTGCAGCCCTCCGGTGGGGGACAATTGGGTTTCCATTCCTAAGCTCTCCAAGCAGCCCAGAGAGTCACAGAGGCACTTAGCTCTATCTCTGTTTGATACTTTTAACTTAGAGTTGAATTTCATTTTGGGATATTTGCCAAACTGTACTAAAAAAAGATTTAGAGGGGATCTTTCTAGTGTCATTTGAGTTTCTGGAATTGCATGTGCAGGCTGCAGGACAAAGCGTCGAAGAGCCGTCTCCCTCCAGTGGTGGCTTTATGGGACAGGGCCACAGACCTCACTGGCAGAGGCAGGTGAAGGTGCAGAGACCCTGGAGAGCCCTTCAGCAGGTGAGGAACTGGCTGTGTGGCAGCTATGCCGTAGGTATTGCTTCTTTGGTGACATTTTGTGCTTGGTAAAGGTTTTTGCACCCCTCCCCCCCTCCACACACATATTTTATCTCTCATTAAAAAGAAAAATACAGCACTGCTGAAAATGACTACTGATCAGGAAGATGCTTAATTAGTTAAGATTTTGAACTTTCCCTTACAACAAATTCACCTTCCGTGTCAGCCGACTAATCACTGTGAGGATGTCTAGATAATAAATTAATCACTGTGAGGAGGTACGATAGATAAAACTCGGGGGGTTCACGTGCGTTTTAAATACTTGAAGTTTTAAAGTTTCTGAGTGGGAGGTTCATCACTATTACCAGGAAAAATATTTATGCAGATGACTCACTGATGACCTACACCAAAAGAGAACACAAAATAAAACACTGCAAGCTCCCTGTTTTTTGTGAGTGTTTGCTTTCTAAAGTGTAAATAAAATTGTCTTGACTTTACTCCCTGTGTGCGAGTGTGTTGCTGATTGTGGGTGTCTGCTCCGTCTCCCGCCCACTTGAGTACCGTCCTCCAGGGAGGCTATTTCTGTCCACAGCTGGGCTGGAAGAGGGCAGAATTCTCTCCAGCACACACTGCGGTAGAGCCTCTCCCACTGGATCCATTTTTTAATAAACCAAAGAATGGTGGTCATGCCACCCCTCCCACTAGCTCTTCTGATGACTGACTGGGGCCACCCCCCCATTGTCTGTCTCTCCTGTTGAGGGGTGCGGAGTAATTTCCAGACTCAGCCTTGCGTGTGCATCCATACATAGCTCACCGTGCATTCTGCTTGCCGTGGAATGTGATGAGCAATCACTGATGTTTAAAATACACCGATTTCCCATACAGAGCCCGGACCACGGTTAAATCCTTTGTGGATTTCTAGATACATAAATACTAGCTCAGCACAGGCAGTCTTTGGCTTAGGGAGCAGGGCTTAGCTCTTTAGAGAGAACAGTTATGAGGAAATCCTGGTGCTAAGAGCTTTTGGGTAAAAAGTCTTGGTTCTCGTAGGAAATGCACCACCAGTCACCAAAGAGCCAACATTCAGTCACGGTGGGTGTGCTTCCCAGGTTCTTTCCAGTCCTAGGTGGGGGTGGGTGCTTTTCTGGGTTCTGCAAGTTAGAGTGAAATGAAAGTTGGCTGGCCAGTCTAGCCAAATAGGCTAGCTTCAGGTTCAGTGGGAGAACCTGCCTGGAAAACTAAGATGGACAGCAGTTAAGGAAGATACCCTCGACACGTGCATAACACATGCACATACTCAAACATGTGAACACACACGACCTAAACTCTGTTCACAGTAGGCTCACAAGAATGCCAATGTTATTTGATTAGCCATAGTCTAACTGGCCCCTTTCAGCTAATGGGTAGGAAATATCAACTTAAAATGACCTACTTACAAATCACTAATTTATAGAAGTATTTTGCAATAGGGCATCACCTACAGCATTCTTTAGGGTCAGCGTACTGGCCATGACAAGGAAGAAGGCTTGTCCTGCACGGTGTTGCTATTTGAAGTTCGGTATCCTGGAGGCGGGGCTTCCCATGTAGCATCGCTCTGTACTTGTGCAATAAAAATAGAAATCACCTCTGTGGGCAAGAGTCCACAACGATGCTTTCTGGCCTTTTAATAAACTGGAGATTTTACCAACACCATTTTTCTCTTGATTTAATAGAAAAAAACTAAATTCCTAAGCTTATTAAAAATTTATAGAGCTATTATAATTAAACATATAATGTTTACTATGCACCATTCAGCACGGTCCCTGTAAAATTTGAGGTGTATCTTTGTTTTGTTGTGGGGTCCACTTAGATCCAACATAACTCAAACACCAGATCAACGAATGTGACAGAAATTTATTGTAATCAAGCCACTCCTGATCAGTCAGGGCCAAAGAACAGGCTCGGGAGCTGAGCTGAGACCTTGAGGGGACAGTGAAAGAAATATTGAAAGGATGAAAACAGAAAGTGAGGTGGAGCAGGCAGGCTGTAGCATTGTCTAATCATATTTTGACATAAGGAGTTGAGCAAGGGAGTTTCCATCAGTCAGGATAGGAGAAGGTTCCTGGGCCTGAAAACATGAACTTAGTTGATCCTGCCGGCAAAATGGAGAATTTGTCCTTAAAATGGCTGGACTCACAATTGTCTCCTTACAAGGTGTCCCTGAGATGGCTGGACTCAGACAACTGTGTCCCTACAACAGGAGCTGTCCAGCCTTTGGGGAGACCCCAGCTCCCTAGGGCCGGAAACCTTGAATTCAGTTTCTCCCTATGATTAAATGGAGTCTGAAAACAAAGCAGTAGTACTTAGAATATTTTGTTTGTCTGTTTGTTTGTTTCCAACGGGTTCTTTGATACACGGTTTCTCTGTGTAGCCCTGGCTGTCCTGAACTCATTCTGTAGACCAGGCTGGGCTTGAACTCGGAGTTCTGGGATTGAAGGCATGTGCCACCACTGCCTGGCTACTTCTTATCATATCTCTTTATTTAGACTCCCAGACATCATTTGACTCTGAACCCAAGCTAAAGAATGATAAAATGGGAACAGAAACAGTCACAGAATAAAACTCATTCTTAAATACTCAACATTCCTTATATTACCACCTGATAAGGCTGATTTTACCGGGTTAATTTTGTTTTTGTTTTGTTTTTCATAAAACTGAATCCAAAAAAGAAGAAGAAGAAAAGAGAGAGATTGAGAGAGAGGAAGGGTGGGGATGCATATCCTGACATGTCCTGGCTCTGGGATGGAGCTTGGAGAGAGGAGGTGTATGCACACGAGTGCTCACATGCGGTTCGGGGACAAGGTCTCCCTCTGCAGCGCAGGCTGGCCTCATGGCAGTTCTCCTGCTTCAACCTCCCGCCCAGTGCTGTAATTACAGGCATGAGCTTCCACATCCAGCTCAAAGTACTGGGTTCTTAATGTATGTTGTTGTCTTCAATAGCATCCCAAGGCCAGGCTAACCTTGAACTCCCTGTGCCAGCAGCTCTCAACCTGTGCACTGAGACCCCACTGGGGAACCAATGACCCTTTCACAGATATCCTGCATATCAGATGTTTACACTACAATTCATAACAGTAGCAAAATTACAGCAACAAACTAATCACATGGCTGGGGGCCACCAGAATGTGAGGAACTGTACTAAAGGGTCACAGAGTTAGGAAGGGCAAGACCTGCTGATCCTCCTGACGCTGCCTCGCAAAAGCTGGCATTACAGTTGTGTGCGGCCCTGACTGTGCAGCGCTATGGCCCAACCCCAGGACCTCGTGCTGGACAAACACACCATAAAGTGAGCTACATTCCCAGCCCTGGGGACAGAATCTTCATACATAGGTATCTGGAGCCAAAAACGCTGGCATGCGAGCATAATCCCATTACTTGGGAGACTGCTGAGGCAGGAGGATAACCACCAGTTCCAGCCCATAGTAAACTATATCTTGTCTCTAAAGAACAATATGGGAGCCAGGAGTGGTAGGGCAGATCTTTAATTCCAGCGCTCTAGAGGCAGAGGCAGGCTGATCTCTATGAGTTTCAGGCCAGCCTAGAGACCCTGCCTCAAAACAAACAAACAAACAAGTACAAAATGAAAAGAAGGAAGCAAGAGAATAGAAAGTACTAGAATAAGAACTAAGACTGTAAGTCAGGCTCTGCCTTATTCAAAGTGGACCTAATAGGGTTAAGGTTGCTTTTTTTTTTTTTTTTTTCAAGTTAAACTCATTTTGATCGGTATTAACAATTCTTTTAATGCTCTGGGATTCCTGAATGAAATCCTTTTTCTCGAGCTTTTTGTCTTTCGTCTGATCTTTATCATTAACCCATGGATCTTCACCATAATAAGCACTCATGGCATACAGCTTGAGGTGAGAGGGCAGATGTGTTCAGTAAAGAAGGGTTAGCCAGGCAGTGGTGGCGCACACCTTTAATCCCAGAATTCAGGGGGCAGAGGCAGGTGGATTCCTGTGAGTATGAGGCTAGCCTGGTCTACAGAGTGAGTTCCAGGACAGCCAGAACTATACAGAGAAACCCTGTTTTGGAAAACAAACAAACAAAACCATATTCACATAACTAGGTTTTTTTAAGAAACCAAAATTCTCCCTACATACTTCTTTTGTCTTTCCTGGATTGCATTGTAACTGAAAATAGGCATTTTCTAAAAAATCAGTTATAACAAGTGGCCAGTGTTTAAATAGCTAGTGGGTAAAGTGTTTGTATGCCTAGATCTCCTGAGCAGATCTCCAGAACAACAGTTTTATTATCTTAAAATAATTAAAAGAGAGTTTCTTTTGGAGTGGCACCTCCCCCAGGAAAAGATTTCT